CTCTCTCTCTCTCTCTCCCTCTCTCTCCTCTCTCACTCTCTCTTAAAAAAATATTTTTTAGTTATACATGGACACAATATCTTTATTTTGTTTATTCATTTTTATGTGGTGCTGAGTATTAAACCCAGTGTCTCACATGTGTGAGGCAAGCGCTCTGCCACTGAGCCACAATCTCAGCTCCTCCAACACATTTTTTAAATTTTATTTAGAGATAGAGTCTTGCTAAGATGCTTAGCACCTCACTAAGTTGCTAAGGCTTTCTTTGAACCTGATATCCTGCTGCTTCAACCTCCAAAGTTGCTGGGATTACAGGCGTGTGCCACAGCACCCATTTTACTCACTTTAAATAAATAGGTGAAGGGTTTTTTTCTTTGTTTGTTTGGTAGTACTGGGGTTGAACCCAGGGCCTTAGTGCATATTAGGCAAATGCTCTACAATTGAGCAACATCTCCAGCCCCAAGATGGGGGTTTCTACCAGTGAAATTATGTTTATTCATTTACTGTCTCACTGAACTAGAAGCAGAAGTGCCCAGCAGAAAATAAATTATTATTAAAAAGGAAGCAACATTGCGTTTAAAAATTTTTAAATAGTTAATGTGATTTATTTATTTTGGGGGGTTACCAGGGATAAAACTTGGGCACTCAACCATTGAGTCACATCCCCAGCCCTATTTTGTATTTTATTAGAGACAGAGACTCACTGAGTTACTTAGCACCTTATTTTTTGCTGAGGCTGGCTTTGATCAGTGATCCTCCTGCCTCAGCTTCCTAAACTGCTAGGATTACAGGTATCCGCCACCACACCCAGCTTTTAATGTGAATTTTATGTTATGTGAATTTTATCTTAGTGTGATTTTTTAAGATGTTTATTTTTTATTTTTGTTGGACACAATACCTTTATTTTATTTATTTATTTATTTTTATGTGATGCTGTTGATCGAACCCAGGGCCTTGCACATGCTAGGCGAGTGCTCTATCACTGAGCCACAGTGATAGAGCCCTCAATATAATTTTTTTAGAAAACTAGTCAGATTCTGACTTCCTTCCCTTTTTGCCAACTATTCAGACTCAGTGTTCTTGCAAATATATTGCAGTAACTGCTCAACTGGTTGCCCACTCTCTAACCCATTCTTTATAGTGCTGCCAGAGGTGGTAAGATGAAAAATGTGAAAACCATTAACCTATTTTGCAGATATTAAAAAGACCTCTATAGCCTGTTTCTGGTCTGCTTCTTCCTGGACTAGTCCTACTGAATTACCTGCCTTGCATGTGCAGGTCTTCTGCTGGAGTTTCCTACCTTACCCCTACCATTTACTTGAGGGTTTGTACTCTTCAAGGCTTAGCTTAAATACATTCTTCCTCGGCCATACTTTTCTTGGTTCCCATCAAGTGAATTGACATGAATTCAGCATATCATGTTGTCAATGTTTTTATACCAGTTTTCCCCATTAAACAGTGAGCATCTTGCTTGGCTTGGTTGCACATGCCTGTCCCACCTAGTTAGGAGGCTGACACGGAAGGATTGCAATTTTGAAGACAGTCTGGGTAACTTAGACCCTACCTCAAAACAAAAAATAAAAAGTATATCTGAGTTCAATCCCCAGTAACAGAAAAAAAATCACTCAGGTACCTCATGCTTATCTATTATTAAAGGGAATGCTACCATATGTAACTCATTATACTTTTAACAGTGTTCTCCCTGGAACATGGACTTCTTTATTTGATTTGCATGATAGGCACCATGGTTTACATGCATTTTCTATAATCTTCACATTAATACTGCAAAATATTATCCTCTTTTGAAACTTAAACTAAGCAAGAAAGATTAGGGGTTTGCTCAAAGAAGCACAACCATCAGAAGTTAAATTAGGATTCCATCCTTGTTTTGCCTCCAAAGCATTTTAATGCTCTGTGCTCTCTTAAGCCATAAAAGTTTTCTTTTTCAATAATTGGTTTCATTTTTATTTTGAGTTATTTTCCCTAGTGGTAGAAGGAAAGTTGTTTGTCCTCAAATCTGGTGTTGTCTTAGGGAGGCAGCATGACACAAATGAAAAAGCATGTTTTGTTTTTGGTACTGGGGATTGAACCCTGAGGCACTTAATCACAGAACCACATCCCCAGCCCTTTTTATATTTTCTTTAGAGACAGGGTCTCTCTAAGTTGCTGAGGCTGTTTGTGAAATAGTGAACCTCCTCCCTCAGCCTCTTGAGCCACTGAGATTATAGGCATGTACCACTGTTCCTAGCAAAGCATGGTATTTGATAAAATTGTTCATATTTCTTTACCTACTTTTGTGAACCTATAATAATAAGTAATGTGAAACACAGAAAAGGGTGAATGCACAAAGCATAATAAAAATGGTCATAATAATGCTAAGATTGCAGTGTCCCCCCTTCTCAGTTTTTTAAAAATTATGTAAAATTTTAGCGAGTGTACTTTAATCCAACCCTAGTGATCTTTAGCAAGTTTTTTTTTTTTTTTTTTTTGGTTTGGTTTGGTTTTTTGGTACCAAGGATTGAACTCAGGGGCACTTAACCACTGAGCCACATCCCCAGCCCTATTTTGTAATTTATTTAGAGACAGGGTTTCACTGAGTTGCTAAGCACTTCGCCATGGGTAAGGTGGCTTTGGACTGGTGATCCACCTGTCCAGGCCACTGGGGTTACAGGCATGCACCACCGTGCCTGGCTTGAGCAAGTTATTGAGTCTCATTTTTTTTCATCAGTAGAATGGGGAAAGTGCCTATTTCTTTAGCTGCTGTGAAAATTAAATGAGATGAGCTCAGTTCATAAAGCCTCTGATGCAGTTCCTAGCATATAGGAGAGATTGGATAAATATTAGAAAATAAGATCA